CTCGTGCAATTGAAGTGGCAGCCTCCTGAGGGTCACCGGGCAGGTTGCGGGGTCCACTTCTGGGCTGTCCGGAGAGTCCACCGCACGTTCCAGGTTCACCAGGCTTCCTCCAAAGGTGTTAGAAGAGCTGCGGGCCAAGGGGTTATGCTTCAAGTGCCGGAAACCTTTCACACGAGGGCATGATGCCCTTTTAAACAATTGAAGTGGCTGCTAGCTGAAGAGGATGAAGAATTTGACCCGCAACAACATGACTATTGCGAAATAACAGGGCAGGAGTTTCTGGAGGACAACGACAGACCCGAAGGCGATGACGGTGATTTTCCAGTCTATGCTATGGCTGGAATTTTCAGCCCTCAAACAATGAGGCTTCGAGGAGTAATTGAAGGGTACACGGTGACGATATTGATAGATAATGGCGCCAGTCACAATTTTGTGTCCTCGTCATTAGTATCATTGCTACGCCTAAACCCGGATAAAACGGGAAGATTCAGGGTCCAGTTGGGAGATGGACACAGACAAGAGTCAGAAGAGGTGTGTCGGCAGCTTCATGTGACCTTACCAAGATGTGCTGTTAAAACAGACTGCTATGTGTTCCCATTGGCCGGGGTTGACATTATACTGGGAGTGACATGGCTGGCCACATTGGGAGAAGTGCGAACCAACAGGAAGAACTTAACCATGCGGTTCAAGCTTGATGGTAGGCAGATAGAACTGAGAGGCGATCCAACAATGTGTAGAAACGCGGTCAGTCTGCCCACGCTACTAAAAACCACATATATAGAGTTGTGTGACGTGGTCCTAGTCAGTGAACCCGCTAAACTTTCTGGGACAGCCTCGGGAACAGTAGATGACATCCTTGGGCAGCATACCGAGGTCGTCGAGGAGCTGCAAGGGCTTCAACCTCGCCGCGCGACGGACCTCTGCCTCGAGCTAGTTCACGGAACGAAGGACAAGATCGAGAGACCGGTAGACTGGTATTCGGCACTGTAGTTTTGTTGCTCAAAAGGAAAGATGGCAACTGGCAAATTTGTGTGGATTACAGGGACCTTAACAAATCTACAGTGCCAGATAAATATCTGATTCCGGTGATACAAGAGATGCTAGATGAGTTGGCTGGAGCCATGGTCTTCTCCAAAATAGACTTGCACTCCGGGTACCATCAGATCAAGGTTGCCGGTCCTGACGTCCATAAGACTGCTTTCTTGGTACTCATAACGAGCATTATGAATTTTTAGTTATGCCATTCAGACTGACAAAAGCCCCAGCCACTTTCCAAGCAGCTATGAATAATTTGTTTTGACCTTACTTGCGGAAATTTGAGCGGGTATTTTTTGATGATATCTTAGAATACAGCCGATCATGGGCTGAACATTGAGAACCACTGGACTTAGTCTTAAGCCTCCTAGGGAAGAATCCGTTCAAAGCTAATATGAAGAAATGTGCATTCGGGCGACCGCATGTTGAGTATTTGGGGCACATTATTTCTCAGGCCGGAGTAGCCACATATCCTTCTAAAGTTAGCGCAGTGGTGGATTGGCCACAACCAGGTTCCGTTCGTGAGGTTCAGGGATTTCTGGGACTGACAGGATATTACAAGAGATTTGTGAGGGAATATGGGCAGATTGCACATCCACTCACTAATCTTTTGAAGAAAGAAGCATTAGCTCAGTTTCACCAGTCTCAAGAAGCCGAAGAAGCATTCCAACGTCTCAAGAGGGCGTTAACAGAAGCATTGGTGTTAGCCATGCCCCAGTTTGAACGCCAGTTTGTGGTAGAATGTGATGCATCGGGAATCGGATTTGGAGCGGTACTTATGCAAGAGTGGTGGCCTATTGCTTATTTTAGCAAATCATTAACAAACATAACACTTTCCAGATCAGCGTACAAGAGGGAGATGATGGGATTAGCGTTGGCAGCCGTATCTGATTAGGCGTAAATTTGTAGTGCGCACAGATCATCGTAGTCTCAGGCATCTGCTCACTCATGGTATAACGACTCCCTCCCAGTAGGTTTGGGTGGCAAAATTATTGGGGTATGATTTTGAGATTGAATACAAGACATGTATATCTAATGCAGCAGCAGACGCCCTGTCACGAAGAAGAGAAGAGTTGGAGCTAGCGGCGGTTAGCATGCCAGAGTGGATGGGTCTGACTGACATTGAAGAGGAACAATAGAGGGATAAATTTTTGCAGGGAATTATGCAGGCACTGATGACCGACCCGGATAGTGTACCGGGCTATGAAGTGATTGGGAGATGGCTGTTTTTCAAATGCCGTTTGGTGCTGGCTGCTGATTCTAAATGGATTGCTCGTCTGATGGAGGAATTCCATGACATTCCTGCAGGAGGGCACACGGGCGCTACCGGAAGTACATGAGGCTAGCAATGAACGTGTTCTGGAAGGAGATGTTCCGCCAAGTGCAAGCCTACATTGCACAGTGTTTGGTATGTCAAAAGGCCAAGTAGGAGGCAATGTCGCCGGCTGGAGTGCTGCAGCCCTTACCTATTTCCAGCTTGATTTGGGAAGATATTTCCATGGATTTCATCACTTGCTTGCCCAAGTCGAAGGGGTACACATCTATCTTAGGGCATTTCATAGCCCTAAAAGCTCCGATCACAGCTCGTTCAGTGGCTGATGTTTTTTCCAGAGAAGTAGTTCGGTTGCACGACATCCCAAGCTCAATTGTTAGTGACCAGGACTCCTTATTTATCAGTGCATTTTGGAAGGAGTTGTTTTCCTTGTCAGGAACGCAGTTAAAATTTAGCTCAGCGTATCACCCGGAGAAATATGGCCAAACAGAGGTGTTGAATCGAGTTTTAGAAACATATTTGCGTTCTTTACTTGTGAGCAGCCAGGACAATGGACAAGGTTGCTGTCTTGGGCTGAATATTGGTATAATACCACGTTCCAGACTGCAGCAAGGATCTCACCATTGGAGGTGGTGTATGCCTGGCCACCTCCTACTATTCGGCGGTATTTTCCAGGAGAAAGCAAGGTGGCAGCCATGGCGGAAGAGCTGGGCAGCAGGGATATTATGCTGATTCGACTAAAAGCGAGTTTACAGAAAGCACAACAGCGCATGATAAGTCAAGCCAATAAACACCGTCGCAATGTGGAATTCCAGGTTGGGGATAAGGTGTTTCTGAAGGTCAGGCCTCATCAGCAAACCACTTTATTCCGCCAGCATTACAATAAGTTGTCTGCTAAATTCTATAGGCCATTCTTCATTGAAGCATGCGATAAGTTGTCTTCCGACAGCCTATCGCCTAACGTTATCATCTACCAGCCGTATCCATCCGGTCTTTCATGTATCTCAATTACGAAAGGTAGTGGGAGATAATCCGATAGAGTGAGTTGCCAGAAAGTTTAGTACTGCCTGTGGGTCCAGTGTTCGAGCCTGAAGAGGTGCTAGCCAGCAGAAAGAAAAATGCTAAGGAGGAAGAGCTATTAATCAAGTGGGCAGGGCAGCCTAGTGACGATGCTACTTGGATGGATAGAACAAGCTTCGTGGGACTGTTTCCATATTTCAACCTTGAGGACAAGATTCTTTCAAAGGAGGATGAAGTTGGCGGAGAGCAAACAGGCGAGGCCGAAGAGCAGGTAGGGGCGGCCGATTCAGACCCAAGCCCCAGGCCCTTGTTGATCTACCGTAGGTGGGGACGGGCTTGAGCCCACCTTCCGTGGGCTGGCTTAGTTATTTTAATTAATTCCTTTAGTGATTTCCTTTTATTATGTTTCTTATTTTAATTATGTGTCTTAGTATGTTTTAATCAGGACTTCTATTCTTATTAGAATTAGAGGTTTCCTATTTCTACTTAGATTCCTAGAATGGTTTAGTTAGGACTTCTATTCTTATTAGAATTAGAGGTTTCCTATTCTATTTAGTTTCCTAGTATGGTTTAATTAGGATTCCTATTCTTATTAAGACTTAGAGGGTTATTTAAACCCCTAAGGAGGGCTATTGGAATCTTCAATTAATAATATTGGAGTTTTAGCTTTAAGCTTTAAGCTTGAGCAACGGTTGCTAACCGTTGATTTTTTTATTTTTTTTTATTTTCTGCTCTCATCATGTTTGTATATTAGTCTGTCAAATAGCGATGCTATTCCAAATCAAAGTACTCCTCCTGCCTTTTTCAAGAGGGTTAATCTTTACAGTCTTAAAACACAACAACAAGGTAAGTAATAACCTACATATGAATCAAGAGTAAAGAAGATCCCTGAAATTATGCTCAAACCTAGATCCAGAATCCATGCTAACGATTTCCCAATTTAGTCCCCAGTTTCTTTGATTACATTTCCATTCTTTCCATCATTGTGCAATTAAAGTGATGAAAGCTCAGGTGTTTGAAATTGATAGTCACCATTAGCCTCATTTTTTAAGAAGCCAGGAATATGGAATTATCTTTTGCGGGGGATGGGGTGGGGGTGGGGGTGGGGGGAGATATTATTTTCCATACTGATCAAACATAAGAATTTTTTCAAAATAATTTTAAAAGAATTATTCATACCCATAGTACACTATATGAACTAACAACTGGTGAAAACAAGAATAACTAGCACTCCATCGTATAAAAATAGTTATATTTCAAACATTTATCTGTATAGATTATAGAAAATAGATTAGTTTTTATCACTCTTAGAAAATTTGTCAACAAGTTTACCAGAAAAAACAGAATAAAAACAAATCTAGTTCATTAAATTTTGTTAAACTATCAATGGAATTTCTAAATTAGAAGCCTCACATGACTCTATTAGAAAAGTCTAATTGTTACCTTATAACAATTGTATGTCATCAAAAAGAAGAATACATCCATTAACCACATGACTCTTTATATGGGATGGGGTGCACATTATTTATCCATCATCGAATCAGCATATTTTGTTTGGTTGTTGCTGGTTGTAAGTCCCGTTGGAGATTATCGCAGTTTTGTATTTATTTGAAATAAATTCTCACAAAAAGCAAAATGGGGTAAAGATTTATTATCTTTCTTTTCCATCTAGATGTTCATTGAGGAAGTGATAGAGCTGGTTGAGTTGAACCCCTTGATTAATTCTCTAGTTGGACTCCCTGGTGTGGATGGTCTCTCAACAGAGCAGAGGAAAAGGTTGACAATAGCCGTGGAACTTGTAGCTAACCCATCCATCATCTTCATGGATGAACCCACATCAGGTCTGGATGCTAGAGCTGCTGCCATTGTAATGCGGACCGTGCGAAACACTGTGGATACGGGACGGACCGTTGTGTGTACTATTCACCAACCCAGCATAGATATCTTTGAAGCATTTGATGAGGTAGTCGATTGTTGCAATGTTTCAGTACTTTTAATTCCAGTGTTCTTATGTGTCTAACACTCATCTTTGAACTTTATAGTTATTGCTGATGAAGAGGGGAGGGCAAGTCATCTATGCCGGGTCCCTAGGTCATCACTCTCGCTCGCTGATACAATATTTTGAGGTGAGCTACTCCCCATCCCCTCCTACAGTCCTATTTTTTTTTTTTTGTTTGGGTGACGAAGGTAGTAAACTTATCACATTATTCTGGAATAAAATTTGATTGACTATGAAAAACAATAATTTGTATTTCCCAGGCTGTACTTGGGGTTCCTAAGATAAAAGAGGGATATAATCCAGCTACCTGGATGCTGGAGATCAGTGCTCCTGCAGTTGAGGCTCAACTTGATTTGGACTTTGCAAACATTTATGCGGATTCTGATCTCTATCGGTAGTTGGGAGTTATAAATGATTTCAGTCTCAACTTGTTACACTTTTACTCTGATGCCAATGGATTTGTGTTTTCATAGGAGGAATGAAGAACTCATTGAACAGTTGAGCACTCATGTGCCCGGTTCCCAGGACCTACACTTCCCCACAAAATATGCCCAACCCTTCTTTACTCAGTGCCATACATGCTTTTGGAAAATGCACTTGTCATACTGGAGACATCCACAGTACAATGCCATACGTTTTTTCATGGCTGTAATAACAGGAATTGTATTTGGAGTCATTTTCTGGAAAAAAGGGAGTAAATTGTAAGTTTTATAGTTCTGAAATGAGAATAAGAACTTTCTCCCCCTTTATGGATTACCATTTGTGATTTGACGTACAAATGTAGCAGGTCCAAACAGCAAGACCTCACAAACCTCGTGGGAGCTATGTATGCTGTTGTTATGTTTCTTGGTTCATCAAATACTTCGGCTGTGTTGTCTGTCATATCAGTAGAAAGGACAGTCTTCTATCGAGAACAAGCAGCTGGGATGTATTCTGCACTGCCTTATGCCTTTGCTCAGGTAAGTAAATAAGAACACCATTGTTTTTTGGGGAAATTTGGCATTTGCACTCCATTCTTTCATCTAAATGAAGTTTGTCAACGTTTTTTCCAACATTGGGGTGTAAGTATGAAGGAAAAATAATTTAAATTTCTCAAACTTTGAAAGGGTGTGAAGTAAGTACCCTAAACTTGCACATGTAATATATATACCCCAAACTTTATATAAAAAGATACCACTATGTTTTTCTTTCAAAAATGTAAATTTATGATCTTAAGTATATAATTTAAAATACCCAAAACATTTATGAGGATGCAATTAACATTAGATTGAACCAGATGTAGTATTATTTATTTCACAAACGGAATTTTAGAATGTTAACTACATCCTAACACAAGCTTGGTGTATTTTAAATTATGTATTTATCACAATAATTTTATATTTAAGAAAGAAAAAACATAATGTCATGGTGCGAAAATAACTTAGTTCGGGGTATGTACTATGTATATTGCATATGCGAGTTTGAGGTATTTATCTCATACCCCTTAAAAGTTTGGGGTATTTATATTATTTATCTCAAATATTAATGATGTCAAAGATTGGGTGGAAACTCAAATTTGGATGAAATAGTAGGGTGCAAAGTCTAATTTCCCCAGAATATGATGTAGTCAGCATAGTCGTCCAGTGACCTTATACATGTGAACTCTTGGTTCTTATGACATACAGGTGGCGATTGAGGCTATCTACATTGCAATCCAAACGTTTATCTACAGCCTTATACTCTACTCGATGATTGGATTCCCTTGGGAAGCACACCGCTTCTTTTGGTTTTACTATTACGTCTTCATGTGCTTCTTATACTTCACAATGTACGGGATGATGCTCATTGCACTCACTCCAAACTACCAAATTGCTGCCATTGTCATGTCATTCTTCCTCAACATTTGGAATCTATTTTCAGGATTTCTCATTCCAAGAACGGTAAAATTCTTTTTTAATAAAACCCATTTCTTGTTCTGGGTTTCTTGAATTCATGATCTCATATTACATATTTATGTGTGTGTGTACACAGCAAATCCCAATATGGTGGAGGTGGTACTACTGGGGCTGCCCCGTCGCCTGGACGTTATATGGCCTCGTAACGTCTCAAGTTGGAGACAAAACTGAGTTGGTAAAGATTCCCGGGAGTGTTGATATGAGCGTCAATGATTATCTCAAAGACAACTTGGGCTATGATTATGACTTCCTTGGAGCTGTTGCTGCGGCTCATGTTGGCTGGGCACTTTTCTTTTGCTTTGTGTTTGCTTATGGAATCAAGTTCCTTAATTTCCAAAAGAGATAAAGGTGAAGATGAAAAAACCTGTAATGTGGCTTGGCAAGTAGGGTGATATTGATAAGAGGGAGTAGTTATAATGTTTTGCAGAGATGTTTTTTATAAGCGTCTACTAAGACTCTAATATCACTACAAAATACATGTATTTTTTTGAGTTTTTTCGTGGAATATTATTAATTAACACCCATTCACAAAAAAATGGCCTCTTAATTTTGGTACAAGAATATACCCATTTTTGTCATAAATCTTTCCTCCAATCAAATTTTATAAATGTAAATTACAAGTGTACAACTATAGAAGCACTAAATTTAAACTTAAAATTACCACAAAAACCAAATCTATAATGCTAGAGATGTACAGTTGTACACTGACCAACGAATACATACTTTCAAGTCGAAACAGATAACAAAAATTCCTTTTGTACACGTTTTTGTACCCATCAGTACACGCATGTGTCTGTGAGAGTTTTTTTTTGTCTGTGAAGTGCGGTCCACAGACATAAGTTCGCTTGTTTTGTCTGTGGAAAATTTCACAGACAAAACAAACTAGCTTTTGTCTGTGGACCGCGCTTCACTGACAAAAAAAAACTCTCACAGACACATGCGTGTACTGATGGGTACAAAAACGTGTACACCAAGAATGGTTGAACAGATAAATAGAATCGTATCAGTGTGTAACCAAAATAGGCAAATTCTAGAGCACCCTCGAATACCTATAATTGAATAATTTAAATGTAAGGAAATGATGAACCACATTAGAGACAAATTATTGTGCAAATAATTTCTAAAACAATTTCTTTTACTGTTTCTGAAGTTATAAAAAAGTTGATAGTATTAGACTATTAGTTCAGATTTAGCGGCGAGAACCACATTTACAATAATCTGGACACTTGAAGAGTGATATTTACAAACTCAAAAATACGGAGACTACGTACATTTCAATTTGGGTACTATTTGAAGAACTGAAAGTGCAACTTAAATGTATAATATTTTTTAGTCTTGTGTTTAATGTTGCATGTAAAAATAAACGAAGAAACTAACTGAATTTTAACTTCCATATTATTTTTAATACATAATGTTACCAACCAGTTCTACAGTCACACGTATAAACGAAGAGGCCCGTGTGGAACGAATGCAATGCAACTATTGCAATTATTGATCAAAGTTGCTAAGGAAAAGGACCAAGCAAAAAGTTAAAAATCCTATTAGTATTAAACTATTAATACGTAATATTAATTAGTCATACTTTAAATAGTCTTCATTTATTAAAGTTATATTAGAATAGCAATTCAGTTTTCCTTTTTGGGTATGTTTGGTTCAAGGAATGTCAGATAATCATGGGAATGTTAGATTACTGGGTATGTTAGATAGATGGGAATGTGATTAATGTATAGCCTATTTGTGTTTGGTTACGATTAGGGAATGTCACATTAAGTTGTTTGGTTGAATGATATCTTTTATTGCATATTTGGTGAATTACTTGAATGTCCTTTATATTTTTGTCTCTTAACACATTAAATTTATCAATTATTAGAAAATGTATTTCATGTTTTAATTTTTTTCTCAATTTTCAATTGTAGTTTATGTTTCAAATAAATATACTTTAAGTTTTTATATGTATCACTTCTTGAATTATTTTTTAGACATGAATTAGAAAAATGTACCCGGCCCGGCCCGTTACCCGGGCGGGTAGACCGCCCCAAACCGGTACTGGTCAACAGCCGTTCCGGTCCCGGGCTTCATTCCCAAAAAGCCAAGCCCTTTCGGGCCCGACCCGGAACCGGAATCGGACTGGGCTCAGTCCACATCTAGATATTTCGATTAATGAAGCATAGGTTTTTTTGGAAGAAAATTAATAAGCCATCAGGAATCTAACATAACCTAAGGCATTGGTGGGTTTGACATGCCTGGTAATGTGATCACCTTTTCCACTTTTGGGAATGTAACATTCCCAAAAGAAAAAATCAAACCCGCGAACCAAACACAGGTATCTCACATTCCGGGCATGAGATTCCGCCATGCATAAGATATCACCTTGAACCAAACACTCCCTTAATATCTATATACCGGTTTCTCAGTTAAATTAATAAACAACTTTTGGAAAATTAACTCTGGGATTTATTGATCAGGTTGGAGATCAGATTTATTACGTTAAGCCTCTTTAATTTTATTCCTCTCTACACACTTGATTAAAAATAGATTCAAACACATCCGGCCGTGCAGTTTCAGAAATGTGGATTACCACATGTGAACATTGTATTGTGGCTTTCGATGAGCTAGAGAGCGCAATGCAAACCCATCGATAATCGACAGAATTATTTTAGCAGAGATCCTGGATGAATATGCTGACCCCATTTATTACAATGGAGTTCAAACATTAATGATCCATGGTCCATGTGGTCGAATGAATGCCCGCATATGTGCCGTGGACAAAGAACAATGCATCACAAAGCACTTCCCGAAGAGATTTGTCCGTTGCACTACAATTCATGACATGGTTATCTGGTTAACAGACGGCGAGAAAATAGTAGGCATACTACTAAGCATAGCCACAATCTCATACAATGCGACTTATTGCTGAAGTATAGCGCTCACATTAATGTCGAGTGATGCAATTAAACACGTGCAGTTAAATATTTATTTAAGTACATCAATAAGGGTGACGATCAGATAACTGTGGAATTCTCAGAATTTATAGATAACTCTACTCTGAAAATAATACATGAGATTAAGATGTTTATATTGTAGTATATTTTATTCATCATTTTAATCTTTTCAACGTACTAAAATGTTTAACCGCGTTGCTCTTAAAATTCTTGTAAAATCACAATTATATATTTTGTACTAATGAATTATATATATTCTTCATTCAGATGTAGAACTTGATCAAGGGAAAATTGATCAAGACGTGACTTTGGTGATATACCTTGCTACGTACCTGATGATGACATGCCCTCGCTTGAAGAGGTTCTCATTCATGAAGAGTTGTAATATAATACTCCCATTTTACCTATTCGGTCTGTCCCACTAAGATTGTCTCATACCTTATTTGGTAAAGTTTGTGTGGTTCTAAATCATTTCTACTTTATTCTTACTTTATCAATTTAATATCAACCACATAAACTCACTTTTATTAATAACCGTGTCACCTTCTCTTGTCCCAAACTTAGGGGGACAGAGATAGTAAATCATATCTTTTTTTTCCGAGATATAATAAATCATATTTGATGGAGTATCATGCAAAGTTGTAACTTCAGCTATAACTTCATAAATTAGCATAATCAACCAACCCAGCCACTTCACCTATAACTTCATAATAAATTTCAGCAGAATCAGCCAATACAGTCGATTTGGGTATTACCAAACAGGCTCTTGATTTACATACATGTATACCTATTTTATTTTACGGCATCATGGTTTATACTCCCTCCGTATCATATTAGTTGCAACATTGAAATTTACACACTATTCATATACTCTACTTTGACTACATTTGATTTATTAATGTATGTGATTTTTTTTTAAATATCGTTGAACTCGTCTCATTACAAAGTTTCATAATTTGGTTTTTAAAATTTTTTACTAATAGAGAATTAAATATAATGATGGTCAAAGTTGTGCACTGGTAAGTGTGAAAAAAGGGAATGTTGCAACTAAAAAAGAACGGAGGATAGTATATAACTTCAAGTATTTTTTTATCTCTCATATATTAATATGACTTCTTATTTTATTTTATGTTTTAATTTTAATCTTCAGTTACATTGATTCATTTTTTTTTTTTTTTTGAACCGGGACTCAACATCTTTCATTAATTCAACAAGTCATTCGCCACGTGGCTTACAATACAATCCGGAATAGAATCATAACTGCTACTATGATCTGAGATAGTAACATGCGTTCTTGCTAGAGCATGAGCCGCATGATTCGCAGATCGCTTACAAAAAGAGATAACATAATTACTCTTTGTCTGAACTAAACAACGTATATCGTCAAGAATCAGATCGATGTATGCCGCACCCTCACTACTTTGGACCCCTCGAACTACTATTTGTGCATCAGTTTCTATTTCCACCCTATCCCATCCCTCTGAAATTCCTGCCAGGACAGCCTCCCGAAGACCCATTGCCTCCGATTCCGCCGGAGACCATTCCGCTTTGCATGAAGCCCCTCCTGCTTTCACAAAATCACCCTGATCATCCCTTGCAATCCAGCCCCAAGCTCGCACTCCTCGTGTAATGTCAACCGCTGCATCAACATTGATCTTTATTACTCCTGCGCTCGGCCGCTTCCACCTCTGGTCGTCCCTCCTTGCCTGGCTCGATGACCTTGCTGCAGACTGTTGAGCCTCCCTCCATGCTAACAACATACTCGAACAGCAACTAATAACACTAGCCGAGCTCTGCCACTTTCCTTCCCAGACTAGAGCATTACGACGCTTCCACAAGCCCCAAACCAACATAGCAACTTTACACCGCTTCTCCTTATCCGGTACAGAGAGTAAGTTTTGAAGCCATACCTCCAACGTGACTTCACCATTACCAGTAGCTATGCCCGCCTCCATCCACACTTCAGCCGCTCTCGGACAGGATCGCAGAGCATGCTCCGACGTTTCTTCACCCTGCAAGCAAATTTTGCAGCTATTCTGGATTGGTACTCCTTTTCGTACAAGATTCACCAGTGAAGGGAGAGATCCATCTAAAACCTGCCAAAGAAAATATTTAATTTTTGGTGGGATTTTTAACTCCCATAAATCTTTCCAGCCGTTCCATCCCCCACCTTCCCCTCCCTGCATAAGAACCCTATAGCAGCTCTTAACCGAGAAAATCCCATTATTCTCTTTACTCCACCAGAAGCCATCTTGTTTATCCTGCAAACTAATAGGAATACTTGAAATAATTTTTCTTTCTTCATTATTAAATATAGCTGCAATTCTTTCAGTATTCCACTTCTTCCCAGTACTATCTCTCAAGGCTGCGACATTCATATCAGCAATACCAGGCGGTTTGGCTGATTGGACCCTACCAACCCCGGGTCCAGGTAGCCAAGCATCCGCCCAAACATGAACCTCTCTCCCGTTCCCAACTCTCCTTCGAATGTTCTCCTTTAGTACTTCTTGGGTCTCAAAAATGCTTCTCCAGACATAGGACGGGTTATTACCCATCTTGGCCTTTAAAAACTCCGAATTAGGAAAATACCTTGCTTTAAGAACCCGCGCCATCAAGCTCTCCGGATTTGAAAGAAGCCTCCATCCTTGCTTTGCCAGCATGGCAATGTTAAATTCCCTCAATTTCCTGAACCCCAGGCCTCCCATACCTTTCGGCTTACACATGAGCTCCCACCTGCGCCACCTGATACCTCTCTGTTCAAACTTAGTGCCTTTCCACCAGAACCCATTCATAAGTTTTTCGATTTCATCACATAAATCTCGGGGTAACAGAAATACATTCATGGCATAAGTAGGCATAGCTTGCACCACATTCCGCAACAACACAGCCCTCCCTGCCCGAGATAAAAATCTATTATTCCAGCTTTTAATTCGATTAAAAATTCTCTCTCGAATGAAGCCAAGAATAGCTGATTTTCCTCTCCCAATAATACTCGGTAGCCCCAGATATTTCTGATGCCCTCCCTCCTGCGGCACTCCAAAAAAAGTACAACAATAATTTTTAAAGGTGTCAATAACGTTCTGGCTGAATGTTACCGTAGACTTGGAAAAATTAATCGCCTGCCCAGAAGTTTCCTCATACTCTTGCAAAATCTCCTTAACAGCATTACATTCATGACCTGAAGCTTTAAAGAACAAAAAGCTATCATCAGCAAAAAATAAATGAGAAACACGTGGGGCCCCTCTACAGACCGCCACTCCGTGAATGTTTCCCCTCTGTTCCGCTTTTCTAATCAAAGCACTCAACCCCTCAGCAACAAGAATAAATAGATAGGGGGATAGGGGGTCCCCCTGGCGCAAGCCCCTACCCGGATAGACAGGCCCCAAAAAATCACCGTCAAACTGGATGTAATAGTTGACCGTCCTGACACACTCCATTACCATATGCACCCACCGGTCGCAAAATCCCATTTTAATCAAAATTCCTTCCAAAAAATCCCAGTCCACTCGATCATATGCCTTACTCATGTCAAGTTTAAGGGCAATAAAACCCTCCTTTCCAGTATTTTTCCTCCTCAAAAAATGTTGAGTCTCGAAGGCAACAATGATGTTATCAATAATAGATCGTCCTGGTATAAAAGCACTTTGGCTTTCCCCAACTAAAGAGCTCAAAATACCCTTAATCCTGTTAGCTAACACTTTAGAAAAAATTTTATAAACCACATTGCACAACGCAATTGGTCTCCAGTCGCCCATGTCCTCCGGTTTCTCTTTTTTAGGAATGAGAACAATATTCGTAATATTAATGTTATCCGCCAACTTACCTGTCTCAAACATAGTGGCACATAAAGCTGAAATCTCCGGGCCCACAATATCCCAATATGCCTGAAAGAAAGCTGGATTCATGCCATCTGACCCCGGCGCCTTCTCCGGGTGCATGTCAAAAATTGCCGCCTTAACTTCCTCTGGACTAATAGGCCTAGTCAACATATTATTTTGTTCATTCGTAACTTGAACAAAATCTCCACGAATATCTCTGGTGCTGGTTCTCCCCGAAGCCTGAAAAAGAGATAAAAAATAATCCAAGACAGATGCCCCCAGCTCACCCCTGTCCGTAATCCACGACCCATCCGCTTTCCGGATACCAGTCATTTTATTTCTCCTTCTTCTCTGTTTGACAGCATTATGGAAAAAACGAGAATTTATGTCCCCCTCTCGAAGCCAGAACTCTTTGGCTCGCTGCTTCCAAAAAAGATTTTCCTTCTCCAACAACACTTGTAGCGTAGCTCGGACTCTCAGAAATTCTAGAACACTAGCTCTATCCTCCTTCCCCCGCAACCATGCCAGCCTTTTTTACACGCAATAATCTGCTGTCTAAACCCCCGCCTCCTTCCTCTGTCCCACCGTAACAATTCAGTCCCACAAAAAAATAATTTTTCATTAATAGCCATATGGGTAGCCGCCCCCCAGCTATTCGACACCACCACTCTACATTCTTCTTCATGAACCCAATTATTTTCAAACTTAAATCTCTTTTTTCTATTGTTTGGGTTTGAGATTTTAACCTTCATATGCAGGGCCATATGATCACTTGCCGGGGCTTCCACCGACATTGCTTGAGCCTCCTGGAACATATCCCACCATGCATCATTCACCAAAATACGATCGAGTTTTTCCTCCACCCAATGCGACGTGCCCTTGCCTCTATCCCAGGTCCATTGATAGCCCGAAAATGGGAAGTCTCGTAGGCCACATCCGTAAACAGCCTCTCGAAAGCCCCGTATTCTCCAGGGAGGGTGAGGAATACGACCCTTCTTTTCCGAGTCAAAAAGGATGTCATTGAAATCACCGATCATCAACCACGGATCATTATTTTCAGCTGCCAGTTCCTCCATCAAAGCCCATGCCTCTCTTCTCCGTCTAGTTTCCGGAAAGCCATAATATCCTGTTAGCCGCCATGGGATATTATTCGCCTTGAGAATAACTCTGCAATCAACAAAATTCTGGCCATTCCTCATTATCTCCACTTCAACATCATCACTCCAGCCGAGTAGTAGACCTCCACTCTGCCCTTCGCTATCCACCCCGAACGAATCAGGAAAACCTTGATGCCGTATTATGTTTTTTGCTCGTTGGCAGCGTACTTTGGTCTCCATTAGAAAAACAATTGATGGTCTGTTGGCATTTATCAAATCACTAAGGCATTGAATCGTGGCTGGGTTATCCAAACCCCTGCAATTCCAGCTTGTAATGCTCATTCTTCCTCAATAGCCACCAACACAATCTGCTCTACCAGACTCTTCGCCGGGCGTGCAACAATCCCAGGGGGAACGGCAAGAACAGGCCGAAAGCCACAGAGTCGAAATTGTCAACTAAAACCAGGCTCAGAGGAAAACAAACGATGCTCGAGAAGACCAAGGTCACCACCGAACAGAATTCCTAAACTCACAGAAAACTCACCGGACGGGCGAATCGATCTCGCCGCCGGGACTACCTGCTAGGAGAACCCTAGAGACGACCGCCTTATATATTACATTGATTCATTATGAAGTTCTTTCACTTTATACGGAGTATATAATCTACGGAGTATCTAAACTCTTATGTACATACTTTACTCTCGCACCGCACAGGTGAAGTAACTTGTTAGTAATGAATAATAAGAAACACACAAGGTCGTTTGATATGTAATATAAGCTATTCTCACTGAAATTAAAGCCAACCCATTCCATATAGATTCGTATTAGGCTCACATTTCAAGATTTGAGCCTAACACTAAATTATTCATTATAGTAAAAAACACTAAATTATTCATTGAAATTCTCCAACTATTATGCATTATGTTACACAGCTGCACAAACGGTTGATTATCGAGCGGTCATGCTTCGAACTACTCCCTCCGTCCCGAATTATAAGATACTTTTCGGTTTACGATGTTTGACCGACGATAAAGCAAACGGATCCCTGTGTGCCCTCAAATTAATTTTAGAAAAAAAGAATTACTGTTGAGTTAATGGCCCAGCACCTGGGCCGGCCCATTCAACCCAGCCAGGACGAACGTCCTCCTTGGCGGGACAGCCCACTCGGACGAACGTCCGAACAAAACAAATGGATAAAATCCACAGACAAGTACAACGGCGACGAACGTTGTCCCCGGGAGCCATTATCACTTGGGTTAATCCATCCTGTGTAACAAATCACCTAAGGGCCAGGATACGAACGGCCCGGTACCCTTTACGACATCACCAGGAGCAGACCCTTTATCCGGACTGGACGAACGTCCCCATGACTAGGCGGGAAAACTAGATTCTGGCGGGAAGCGCATTTAATGCCGGAGATTTGGTGGTTGGGACACCAGCCACACACCAGCCTCCACGTCAGGATAGCCAGCTGCCCACTGGTGGTATAAATAGCAACATTTATTTCATTGTAAAGTGTTGGCAACTTACTATTCTTAGCATTCTAGCTATAACGTTCTTACTCACAGCTCTTTCACTGCCTTGTAAGACGAACGGCCGACGAGCCTTAGCAAAAAGTATTGTATTAGGGAATTATTAGCTGATTAATAATACCTGATCTATTACTTGCTACCTCTTGTTTCTTAATCCATCTCACCTGTTAGTTGGGCTAGTTTATTCATACATACTCCACTCGAAATCCTTGGGCTTACGTGTTGGACCCGAGGGTTGAAGGAATAAACCTCAACAATTACATATTCAGAAACTAAATTAAAACCGCTACAAAACCTGCAAAAAATAATTCAAATTTTATAAAATTTTGATATATAAAATAAGAGATTAAAAATGATTTGTGTTGACAAAGTGAATAGTAAAGACATCTTATAAAATGGGACAGGGAGTATTATATTTGACCTTCTAGATTACTTTTTGTAAAATAAAAAATAAAAAGCAAAACATTGACCATCTAGAATGTCAACTAATAATTGCACCCACTTGTTCGGTTACTTTTTCCAATATTCAATATGTCAAGTAATAATTGCAAAAACTTGTTCTGTTACTTTTTCAAATACTCAACAAGAGCCATATACACATATTGTAATACTATGACAAATAAATATATTTATTAAATTAAATATAATTTTTATTATTTCTATTTAGTTTAGAGATCTTGATAAAATCAGATGCAAATTTAATAAGAACGTCAAGACACTTGATTCCCTTAGTTTTAATTTTGTTATTGGTGTTATGAGCATGCTTAATTATAATATAGAGAATCAGACATTTTTTAATTACGAGGAACTAATGCACATAATTAATACATATATCATGAGGGGTTTGGCTTTTTAATCCCTATCTATAATGCAAAAACTTGAACTACAATAAACACGTGATATAAGAAATAGTCAAATGCATAATTCTAGATAGCATATTTATCTCTTTATTTCAACAGTTTTAGTAATCTTTTCTTCATGCTGTCAAGCACAATGTTTAATTTAGATGTTGACTTGTGAGTAACATATATAGCTAAAAATGTAACTTAATTAAACATAGAAGCCAGTTGAAATAAGAACATGAAAGTTTGTGGATTTAGTTCTATGTGATTATTTAATTCTCTCATGACATGTGTAAACCGTAAATGTTGTTTTCTTCTTCCATGTATAAACCCATTCCCCCTATACAGTAATGGCCCGCTACATGCATCAAGATACTAGATGTAATAAAGTGTTTTTGTAAATACGTTTAAGTATTGTGTAACTATACAATTATATGTATGTTAATATAAATTATTTACATTTGGTATAAATGACATTAACAATTATAAATACATGTGAATAATGTGTAAATGATGTATTGTTTATTGATAAAACTATATGTTTGGAGTTAATGGTGTTATAAATAATGTAAACCACATGTGAAAATATGTAAATGTATTAAAGTTTTATTGATACCTTGACATTATAAATTATGTTATAAATAATATAAACTACGCGTGAAATTGCGTATGTTATGTACTTTTGTATAAGCTACAAAAAGCTAAATTTTGTTGATTTAAAATGTAAATGGTTGAAAATCGAAGAAACATAAACATTTTGGCGCAAATGTTGTTATAAAAAAGCAAATACGCTTTAAAAGTGTAAATGAAATATATTTTTATATAAACTTTAGAATACGATGAACTTATGTAATTAGATTTAAAATTCAAACCATTAGAATTGGCCTTGTATTCAAAATATTACGAGATGAGACTCAATTTACAGACTCTTCAAACGTAAATATGTAGTATGATTTTTATAAATTTAGGATATTTAAATTTTAAAGTTGATGAAAAAGTGAAAATTAACCTAGATGTATTCGTTATTTTTACTGAATTGTAAAGAAGAATAATAAGAAGTGAATTGGAGAATACAATAAAAATAGAGGAAAAGAAAAGTAAAAAAACTTCAAAAAAGAGGAGGAAGGTGTTGAGTGTGTAGGTGGTAGAGTATACTCCATCCGTCCCATTTAAATCTTCTAATTTTCTTTTTAGGTCATTCTATTTAAATCTTACGTTTCCTTACGTTTCCTTTTTAGACAACTTCTTTTACATTAAATGTTCTAACTATCTTTCACTGCTCAATCACTTTTTACATTTGATTGGATAACATTAATTATCCTCAAAGTCAAAGTGCATGAAATACATTTGTTCTTCTATTAATTTGTTTCCTAAAAAATAGTGCTAAAAGCAAACGTTAATATTTAAGTGTCCTCGTTCCCCCTTCCATACCCTGCTATAAATAATCCGCCATCCTTCAAAAAATTTAGAATTTGTCCACTTCCCCCTTTACCAGAATTCTTCACTTGAACAGTACCTTCATTTTGTCAAAAACCACTGTACCTTCTCACATCCATTCTGTTATTTCTCCAAAATCTGTAGAAAGTCCACCCAAAGATTTCACAATTCGACTAACTGCCTTTAGTCAAAAATCTCTTTAATCTTTGCTAGCCATTGTTTCTCATTGCAAAGCCTTTGGGTATGTCATTGTTTTGCTTTTTTGTCTATCTCTGCTGCCAATCCTGCCATTGCATTGTTGTATCCTGTTATATTCCCACCCCTATACTAATTCTTGAAATAGTAGAGTTTTCTTCATTTTGACATTTAACATGTTACAGTGTTACTCCGTAATCTCTATTTGGGTATAGTGCGTTTCAGGTGTTCTTGGGGATCATATGGTTTGAGTGAATGAAACCCTGAATTTAAATATCTTTTCTGGCTTGGAAGTTGGAACTAGTGGAGATTCTTGTGTTGAGGACACTGAGATAAAAAGGGTAATTGGCTAACTCTGTGTCTGATAGAAAGGGGTTGGAGATGGCATCACCTCTAGGTGGGGATGATATAACGATAAGCCGGCGGACAATGAGTAGAAGTAGAATGACTAGTCTCAGATCCACTAGTTCAAGGAGCCTAGCTTCTGCAAGTCTTAGGGAAGTGTTTGCTGCACCAGGAGGGGATGTCTTCCAGAGAAGTGCTAGGGAGAATGATGATGAAGAGGAGCTCAAGTGGGCTGCTATAGACAGGCTTCCTACGTATGACCGGTTGAGGAGAGGGGTCTTGAAGCAAACGTTGGATAGTGGAAAAGTTGTGAATAAAGAAATTGATGTTCACAATCTTGGGATGCAAGACAAGAAGTGCCTCCTGGAAAGCATCTTGAAGGTTGTCGAAGTCGATAACGAGCGCTTCCTTACAAGACAAAGAAACAGAACTGATCGGTGAGGCCTAAATTTCTATTACATGTACATAATATCTAATCATTTTCTTTAACCTGTCCTGATCATTAAGTATTGTTAGGAATCCAAGACCTTATGTTGGACAAGCTAATGGATTAGATTCTATCTTTTAGATTAGTTTCAACCAGGTGCATTATGGTCGAGTTTAGTGAACTTGGCCAAATTTTGAATTCCATTATGTTAGAAATTTGTGCTTAAACACGGGCACAAGGCAAGACTCTTCTTGATCATAATTTTTTCATGAATAGGGTAGGAATTGATATTCCAAAAATCGAAGTGCGGTATCAGGATCTATCCATAGAAGGAGATGCATATGCTGGATCTAGGGCATTACCTACTTTGTTAAATGCTACCATTAATGTGGTAGAGGTATTCAATTTTTTTCATTTGCTGGATTCAATATTTCTGCATGTTTTATCTTCTTCAAGCTTCTAACTTTACCTGGATTACATCATAATGTATGCTGATAATGTTCAACATTATTATCCCAGAGTTTTCTCGAAGAGGTAAAGATTTTTCCATCAACAAAAAGAGCAGTCCAGATACTCCGTGGTGTGAATGGAATTATAAAACCGTCAAGGTATGTTCTCAAAAAGAGCATCCTCTTAACAATTTATTGGTGGGTACTTCTGTCCATATGGCTAAGTATTTTTTCCTCTTCCACTCTACAGGATGACACTACTTCTTGGGCCTCCTGGCTCTGGTAAAACCACATTCTTGAAATCACTTGCAGGAGTATTGGACAAGGAGCTTAGGGTATGATGAGTTCTATGTTAAGTATTTGTTCCACAGCGGAAAGTTATTAAACATTAAAACACTATACAAGACTTTGGGTTACTCCTTTTAGGATGGAACTCCGAGTCTTGACATTCTGCACTTAGATCTAGG